TGATGTATGTTTTGTTACTTGAATAGATTCAACATTCATACAAAAAAAAAGAGATTGTAAATCTCTTTCGGTGCCTTTTCATTGCTTTCAGTATGTTACTGTCGCTATGTTGCGTCGAGATGAACAAAAAGCGGATGAAGAAGTAAAAGAAGCAAAAAAAAAGCCATAAACAGTAAATTTTCAAAAATGTTAAGGAGAGGAGCATTAAAATGGAATAATAAAATGTGATACAAAAGTTTTTAGCGGATTTTTTAGAGAAATAAAATTTTGGCTCCTTTGTTATCAATTGTTTGATGTCACGTTGACTTTATGGACTTCTACTCATGTTATGACTTTTGTTTTTGAAATTATTTCATTGCTGTTTTATGAGGAAAAGTTGGTGAATTTGGATAAAAAGTCTCTGAATATCACTTAAGGCTTGAGAACTCTCTTATGACTTTTTGAAGATTATTTTAAATGCAATGAGACTAGCAGCTCATAAAAGTAATATAAATTTGAGTTCAAAATGTTGAAAAGTTAAAAATTCAAACTTAAAATTTTGTGATAACAAATTTGATTTTTAACGTCCTTTTAAGATTTAAATTCAAATTTTTGTAGCCAACTTCAGGTCATTAAGTATCAAATTCAAAATTATTTTTTACAGTTAAATTTAAAAATCTAATATTCGATTGAAATGCGCTTTAAACTTTTATAGAAAAACAAACTTACCTCAAATAGACTTTATGGGAGTCATTGCAATGCATTGATATTGGAATTAGAAAAATAAAATCTTCTTATTTCTATTCATTGAATATTTTCCTTCTCCTTGATGTTGAAAAAAATCAAAGAATTAAAATGTTTCCTTTCATTTTCCATTTCGAGCACAATTGCTCAGAGGTAGGCCCGTAAAAAAGTCAATAGAAGGCATTAGGGATGTAACAATATAAGTTAAAGTTTTTCGTTTAAAAATTTCTCTTCTTTTTGTATCTTGATAAAATTTCATCTGAGAATAATGAGTTCGCATAACTTCCAGGCTTTTTAAGAAGAAGAAAATAAATTTTCTGGTGTTTTTCTCTTTTGTGTAAGTTTCCAGCATTTTATGAATGACTTATGAAATTTTAAGGAGGTATATGGACAATGAAAAGTTCTTGTTGGATAGATTTGGTGATACATTTTAAATTAATTGGTTGTAAATTATTTAAAAATTTCAGAGAAGCATTTAGAATTTTAAAATGGTTGAAATGTAAACGTTGTTTAGATATGGACTCAAAATTTGATGTAAAGGCAACATTCAAATTACGGAGGCAAAATAAAATTTTCGTAAGTTTTATTTTACCTAAAATGTTTTTAAAACAACCGTCAAAATAAATTTGAAATTTAAAATTTGATCGTTAAATAAAAAATTCTGAACGCACTCAGCACATGTTCTGCGTATGAAATTGAAAAAATCATTAAATGTAGGATAAATACATTGTTTTAAGCTCTCAAACCAATCGATACTTTAATAACTCAATTGCACGAAGCTAATGCAAAACATAAGAGCTCTCTACGATTTATGATTCCCTGATACGAACAATTCAAGAGTTTAGACCGTTACAGTTTCCAAGAACACTTTCAAAAATGTCTTATTTGTCTGTCTGCTATGCAAAATTCGAAGTTTCATACCCTGCAGTTCGAAATTTTCGAAAATTAAGAAAAGTAAAAACATAAATTAAGCAATTTTTTCATGAAATTAAGATGAAAATATTATGTTATCATTTGATAATAAGCATAATAAAGCTAAATCTGTTTTCAAAACTGTCAAAAACTTTAATAAAATGACCAAAAATTGTAACGGTTTTTGAAATTTAAATTTTTCGAACGTGCATATTATAACACCAGATGATAACATCAGATGATTCCGATACATTAAGGCTTATCCTGCCAGCCAGTCGAACAGAACAAAGTGAAACTATGCATACTCTTTTAAGAAATGCGTTAAAAACTATTCAAAAATTTAATAAATTTAGCTCAACTAAAATCCTTTCAATCCATCTCCATACTCACTCCTAAAATAATTCCAAATAATTCTCACAATCCTCAAAATGGAAAAATGCTGTAAGTGTTGTGATGCGATGGAAAGGAAAGGAAGGGAATCGAAAAACTTTCAACATCCTCCATTCTTCCTCCATCAAACTATGATTCATTTTGCCTGGATGGAAAATTGTGATTTTATTGTCAAGCATTTTTCCGGAATTTTTTTGCTTTACAGCATGCATATGTATAGCAAATATATTTTTGATTTTACGTTCATCGGCCTAAACATAATGTAATATTCACAATAGGAAATGGAAAGAAGACGGGAGAGGAAATTTATTTGAAAATTTTACACACAACTCGAAATGTGCTGCTTTTCCTTATTTTCTTTTAAGGCATATAAGAGAAATGGTTCACTTTGGGGTTCTGTCTGAAGATTATTTGACATGTTTGATTTCTAAATGTTTACATGCCTTCAAAGAATTAAACTACAAAGGTGATTGGATGCAATGAAATCAAAATGTGCAATAGTCGCATGTTATGAAGATGTGGAGGGAGAGGGTATTTATATAAGGTCTTCTAGGATGGGTAAATATCATGACGAAGACGAGATTCCGTCTTAACCTTGAACTAAATCTAATTGATTATGGGCAATTCTACGAAAAGGTTTCATGAAAATAATCCGTGTCAATTGCATGAAATTTTTTAATTATTTTATTTTCACTTGTGCATAGTTTTTCAAAAATCTAATTCTCATTTTCTTTTCTATTGGTTAAACTGTGAATTTTGATTACATCTGCACTCAAATTACTTAGCTATGGCTTGAGAAATTCATGGTTTCAATTTTAATATTTGGTAGTTTTTTTGGAATTGACTCCAAATTACTCTGTTTCACTTATGAAATTTTTCGTACAATCCAAATTGCAGCTTAGTTAAGGCTTCCACAAATATAATTTTGACATCGTTTTGAAACTTTTATTTTAAGCCACCTTAAAGATATTAATGAAAACATTTTGGAAATTTGGGCGAAAAAATTCATGTGAAACAGAGTAATTTTTCGTAGAATGTAAATAATTCTTTAATTAACCATTTTTAATATGTTTGGGTGAGAACAATATGTAGATCTCGGTAAAATCTACTATTAAATACATGAAATATGGGGAGTAATGCAACTGATAAAGAGAAATATAGATTTGGAGACAAATTTGTAGAAAAAATCATTCGTAGAATCGCCCATATTGAATTTGATTTGATTTAGAATTGGTAGATAGAATATGATTAAATTAATTAAATTAAATGTTTTAGACTCGGGGGGTGTAGCTAGAAATTTGGTTGGAGAGGGGAGGGGCCCCTGTTTGGAATATTGCAAATTATTTCTCATTATGTTTATTATTAAACAAAAGATTGATTTTGATAGGATGTCCAGAACCACAAGATACTTTGAAGATCTTTATTGTGTATTGAAATTCAAAACATTATTTTAATCAAAGGTTCTTTCAAGATATATAGATGTGCTCATACAAAAATATCGCAGTTTTTAAACGTCAAAAATTTGAATTTTCTAAAAACACTAACACTATAAAAGAAAATTTTCAATTTTTGTTTTGCAAAATTTTCAACTTTCTGTTAAGTTTTGTTGATACAGGAGTATTGCAAATGCTTTGCTATAATTAAAAGTAACTGACTAAAGTCAAATGTTGTTGCATCTGTCGATATTTAAATGAAAACTTGAAAATAGAAAATTTTAAAAATTTTTGTTTGTATAAGTACACAAAAAATAGTATGGTCGAGTATGGTCAAGTATACTCTGTATGAGCCCATCTATATATCTTGGGTTCTTTCAAAAATTATAAATTAATATAATAAATTAAAATGAAGAAGTTGTTTACATGCTCATTACGCTTTTGTTACTTTGAGATAATATTGCATTTTGTGAAATGAATAAGAAACTAGAGTTGATTTACAAAGAGCACATTATGCTCAAGGCGTAGAAACTCAGAATTAATCCTAAAAAATCCCTTAGACAATAAACATGAAAATTTCAAAACCCTTTTAAATTCCTGATGCATTTGATGAATAATTTCGAGATTTAAAAGAGATTTCACACTTTCATGTTTATTGGCTCAGAGATTTTTTAGGATTTTTTTATTATTAATCCTGAGTTTCCACGCCTTGACTATGCTCCTTTTGAATAATGTTTATTTGAAAGTTTCTTTATACTGAAATAATTTTGATTAAATCAAATTTTGATGAAAATTTCTTTCAAAATCTTTAATGTCAATTTGAGTTTTGCAGTGAATTCGAGTCTTATTATTGCATAGGTTGTAGCAGAGCTGAAAGATTCACTAATTAAAGATTGAATCTTTTAATTAAAAGTCGAGTTAAGTAAACTCTAATTGAATCGAGTTTATAAATTAAATGTGTTGACTTCAATTTGATGAGGAACATTTAAATAAGGCGGGCTGTTCCTCAAAACCCTTTCTAGCTACAACAGTTAAAATGGAATGAAACTCAGCCATAAAACCAAAAATAAAGATAATCTACAAAACCTAAATGTGAACCATGTTTCTATTGAGATAACTTGATAGAATTTGAACCTTACATTGATTCATTGATACATTAACTAAGCATTGCAATATTTAATCAAATCTAGCTTTAAAAATGCTCACCAAACCTCACAATAACCCAAAAACCCTCCAACTTAACTCCAATTTCATGCAAATATTTTGTCAATTTTTCATTGCAATAAGAAGAAATGAACAGCATAAAAAAGCATCAAAAACAAGAAAAAGGTTACAAATGAATTGAAAAAGAAAAAAAAAACAATTTTTATTGATTTTCATTCCTTTCCAATATTCCATCAACTGATTCCGTTTTATCGTCACTTCAATTCAATTCCATTTGTCACAATATTCGGTACAAATAAAGCATTTTTATGTACCATTGTGAAGGAATATAAAGGAATATGCGATATTGGGGGTGGAAATGAATAGTAAATGTGATGCCCGGTAATAACACCGACGCGGAATAACTTCACAACGCAGCTCCGGAATAATGTCGAAAATTTAAAATGCATAGAGCGGTAATAACTTCACCTATATAGCCTGAGTGAACTTATTCCGGCGTGGCGCAGGAATAACTTCACCTAGAAAATGAAGGTGAAGTTATTCTTGCACGCTGTAGGAATAACTTCACTTATATGTGCCAAGTGAAATTATTCCTGCGCCACGTCGTAATAATTTCACAAATTTTTGTTCATCGACATTATTCCGTCATGATGCAGGAATAACTTCACTTATAATTTCTATGTGAAGTTATTCCTGTTTTGTGTAATTACTTTTATGTTATTTTTTAAGGGTTTTTTATGATATTTAATTAATAAAGTTCTTCAGTAATATGTTTTGAAGTTTGTTGCGGATTTTATTCTAATTTGATGTAAGACAAGATAGTTTCTTATATCTTCGAAATTAATTTGGAATATATAGAAAGTTCACTACTAATTCGTAATTACTTTGAATATCAATTAAAACTTTAATTAATTTTTCTGGAGTTATAGGCTCTTTTGCTGAAATATCTCTATTAGATATCAATCTTGTGATATTAACACATGTTTTTGTATCAAAAAGGCAGGCTTTAGATGAGAATTTAATAGCTAAAATTAACAAAACTTTTGTCAACAGTGTCAATTGGTAACAAAAGAGCGCTTCCATACAAAATTAAAATTCAAAAAGTTGCACAATTAGCTAATTTTACCTTGTTTAATTAAACTAGAAGCAAGTGAAATGATAAAATATACATTTTTTCAATCCATTAGAAGGATAGCTTGCAACAAAAGAAGTAAAATCTAGTGTTCGAAATCTTAGCAAATAAAGTTTTTCGAACTTTTGGGGACTGGATAAATAAAGTTCATTTTTAACCAACCTTTACGATGGCATAGCATTTGTATTAAAATTTAAACGAAAAGGTTCTCAACGGCTAGTTCTCACACTCAGAAATGCTTAAAGAGATCAAAAAAGCATCCAGAGGCATTGAAGCTGTAAACTGATATACATTCAAAAACAGGAACACAGTCAATATCAGAAAAACTTCCATTAACCTTTGTGTTCAAAAATTTCATTCAAATTTTTTGAAAAATTTCCCTTGTGACGTCACAAATTGAGATTAAAAATCTCAATTGAGATTAGGACGTGAGAAAAAAATTTCACGAGATTTGAAAACTCGCGAGATTTCAAATCAAGTTTTCTCTGAGAAAATTTTTCTCACGAGTTTTTTGGTAAGATTTTGAACACTAGATTTTACTTCTTTTGTTGCAAGCTATCATTCTAATGGATTGAAAAAATGTATATTTTATCATTTCACTTGCTTCTAGTTTAATTAAACAAGGTAAAATTAGCTAATTGTGCAACTTTTTGAATTTTAATTTTGTATGGAAGCGCTCTTATGTTACCAATTGACACTGTTGACAAAAGTTTTGTTAATTTTAGCTATTAAATTCTCATCTAAAGCCTGCCTTTTAGATACAAAAACATGTGTTAATATCACAAGATTGATATCTAATAGAGATATTTCAGCAAAAGAGCCTATAACTCCAGAAAAATTAATTAAAGTTTTAATTGATATTCAAAGTAATTACGAATTAGTAGTGAACTTTCTATATCAGCAGTTAAGTGCCTTGCTGGTCGAATAGGTAAGGCGCTTGGCTCAAATTTGGTATGGTAACTCGAAGGTCGTTGGTTCGAATCCAGCCATTTCCAAATTTGTTCTTTTTCAGAAGTTTAGATACTTCGACTGCTTAATGTACGAGTCAAGCCATAATTGGGCATTTTGGGCAACGTTGGATTAAGGAACGGATCAGGAACTTGAAGTGTAGCGGGAGAAATAGGAACGAGAGCTACAAGATTTCCTTATAATGGAATATTGTCAGAACGGACCTGAAATGTATCACGTCACGCCCACAGAAGATTGAAACGAGAGCCTTAGTTTATTTGAAACCTGGATTTGAAGATTAGAAGCTTGATTCTACGTCACCCATAGTGATATGAAATGTATCACTAATCATTGTAAAAAGTAAAAACATGTATAAATACTAATTCTTCCGGACGGTAACGTCGACAAATAAATAATAATAAATAAAAAATAATAAATATATATTCCAAATTAATTTCGAAGATATAAGAAACTATCTTGTCTTACATCAAATTAGAATAAAATCCGCAACAAACTTCAAAACATATTACTGAAGAACTTTATTAATTAAATATCATGAAAAACCCTTAAAAAATAACATAAAAGTAATTACACAAAACAGGAATAACTTCACATAGAAATTATAAGTGAAGTTATTCCTGCATCATGACGGAATAATGTCGATGAACAAAAATTTGTGAAATTATTACGACGTGGCGCAGGAATAATTTCACTTGGCACATATATTATATACATACACCTTCATTTTCTAGGTGAAGTTATTCCTGCGCCACGCCGGAATAAGTTCACTCAGGCTATATAGGTGAAGTTATTACCGCTCTATGCATTTTAAATTTTCGACATTATTCCGAACTCACGATTTTCTCTACAAGTGAAGTTATTCCGCGTCGGTGTTATTACCGGGCATCATTTCATGTCGTCCATCATCATTTCTAGTAGAACTTTCAAAAATCCAACGCGATGGATTCATTTTATTTTTAAATGGAACTGTCGTTAAAAAATTGTTTTGTTCAATTTCTTCAGCAACCGTGCATGATAAATGAACTCTCGGTTCTTCAGGCAGCACTATAATAGGATACTGGATACGATCATTTAAAACCCGAAATGAAGCTTTACGAACTCTCACTTTAAATATGTCAACTGATGGATCATCAAGCAAACGAACTGCAAAGTATCCTGATTCCAGGTTTATGTACTGAATGCGTGGTTGAATGGGATCGTATGAAGGATTTTGAACGATATTGTAAAGTTCATCAATATTAATCTCATTGAAACAAGTGTGTGTATGTCCAAATGGAATAATATATTTTTTTTTGTGATTTTTAATCAAATCCTGAATTATTTCTTCAAAAAAAAATATTTTAAATTAAAAGAAGAAAATTATAAATTGCATCACTCGATTTGTCTGTGCCTGATATTTTTAATGTAAACTTTTTGATTGAAGGAAACTGCTGAATCATTTCAAAGGCGCTTGTGATTTGAATCTCAGATGCTGTAAATTCCTTAACTTGCTGCTTTTGCCCGTTGAGGATTAATGGAATCTTGCCGTAGTAAAATGTATCCAAATTCAACTCCTCAATGATGTATTTAAGGACTTTTCCGCCATCAAAGTCGTAAGGAAGTTCATGAATCGTCAGTTCCTTTAAGCTTCCTTTTTGCGACTTCAGGAAATCGACACGAGCTGATTTGATTCCAATATACCAGTGGAAAGTTATCATTGTTGTCTCAAGTTTTGTAATTTTGAATGGAAATTCATCAGAATCAAAATAACTTCCAGTTCCAGCTCCAATCAGCACAAGATGGTTCAAACTCTTCGAATTTCTACAAATTTGATTAAAGATGTCATGAGGAAATCCATGCCAAGTCCAATCGTTGTTGATGACCGTAATGAAATTCATTAAAGTTGCTCCTGGAGTGGTTTGAATGTGACCGACGCAAGCTGAAATTCAATGAAATAGACAAAACGGGGCAAAACCAAGAATTTACCCATCAAATATATCTAAAAGTGATGTATTTTGATTCAAATATGTTCTAAAATGAAATATCAGTCAATAAAACTCTGAAAAATAATCTGATCATTTAGATTTTCAGAGCCAATAGAGACTACTAGGGTCGTACCTTAAAAGCTACCTGAGATAGCAAAAACTTTGTGAAATGCAAATTTTTGAGTTTTAATAGTCATAACTATCATAAATCATCATAAAAAACTACAAATCAATACTTAAATTTGTATCTAAGTCATATTTCTACAAATAACGTTTTTGATATTTTTTTCAGTTTTGGGTCGCTCACAAACAAGGCACATAATCATGACTAAAATCATACCCAACCATCAAGTATTTTATATCGTTGAAAAGATCTTGATTTTAGCTATAACAAACTGAAAACAAATTTTAAAAATATTTTGTTTTCTTAAAACTGGAGCGTTTTAAGTGGTGGGAAAACCATACAAGTCGTCAGATATCAAATGTACCCAATATATCGACATATTTTAAACTTTTTGAAAAAAATTCTTTGCATGCTGTTTTTAAATGTTATTTTCTATTAGAAAACATTAAAAAAATATTTGTAATTATTGTTTTGTAATTTTTATGAGATATTTTTGATTTTGATCAAATATTCAACGGCTTATTAAAATCAATTTATCTCAAAAGTGTACCAATAAAATTTTAAAGTTCATACAGTTTTGAAAACAAGAAGTCAAGGGCTTTATGATGATATGGTTTTACCCCTTAAGTAGTCGTCATCTAAGATAGTTGCGGCGTGTTTGAAGATATTTTTCATAGGATTTTCATACATTTACTAGCATATGAGTACTATCGGCCGATTTCACAAAGGTGGATAATCCTCGGATCGGATTATCCACTTTTTGAATCCAAGGATAATCCATGATTTTTTTTACTGCGTTAAACTGCACGGTGTATCAGAAAAAATGGATTTGAAAAAAATAATTTTTTGACAATGGATTTCACAAAAAAAGATTATCCTAGTATGTGGATTATCCTGAGATTATCCTAGGATTATCCACATAATTATTCCAAAATGTTAAAACTGGGTCCCCCCAAGATTGAAAATTCGGATAATCTTCGGGATTATCCTAGGATAATCTTAGGATAATCCATATACAAAAATTATTTTTTCGCTATATTCACAATACAATAATAAGATTTTTTCTCAAACTAGTTTGATTATTATTAACCAATTAATTCTACACCAGAAAAAAATTATTTGGATTTTTCTCATATCAAAGAAATAGATAATCCGAAAATGAGGATTATCCACCTTTGTGAAATTGGCCGAAAAATTTTATCGAAAAAAATTATGTACTTCACCAAATATAGTTTTTATATAGGACTACTAGAAACTGAAAACCGTTTTTTATTTTAATTAACCGTTGCAGAGAGTTTTGACTTCAAAGTTGGACTGAAAAAATCTGTTTTTTTGCTATTTTCCGACTTCAAACAGCCATAAAATTGCAGGAACAGCACCAAATGACTTGAAATTTGGCATAGAAGTCAGGTTTTATGTCCTCTACAAGAAAAAATTCACTTGAGAATGTAATTCGAAAAAGTCCCAAAATCAATGTGAAAGTCCCTCTTTTTTCAATTTTGCCCCATAGTGGAGCCCCAAATAGCCCTAGACATTCCAATTGGATTGTAATAATTGCCAGGATTTTCAACGATATTAACTCATTCCCTGATTATGAAACAATATGTGAGTTTTGGCCGTCCAGAAGTTAACTTTAGTTTTGTCAATTACCCTCACACCCCCCCCCCCTCCACTCCCCCCCATCCTTATTTTTTAATTTATAAACCATAATTTAAAAATATTTTTTTATCACAAGTGGTTCGGATCCCACTATAAACTGTAGGTCTAAAGGGTGTGGTACAATAGATTCTGTTCTAATTTGAATCGCAGTGCCTCCAGCTGAAAGGCTGGGCCCTTCACACGTTATATATATATATATATCACAAAATCTCAGAATCTCTTTCGTCATTAAGTGTTACGTAATAAATGAACGACCCCAGAGTATTTGTAAGATTTTAAGTTATACATAAAAGAACAATGTTATACGGTTAATTATTCATCATATCAATTTTCTATTTTTAACTTGGGGTTTTTAGGTTTATAACTTGTTCATATTGAATATACCTAAAATAATAAAATATTGGAATTTATTTAAAAGTAAAATACTTAATTAAGGCAATGAAAAATTCAGAAGAAAACTTAAATTTCAGCGAAGCTTCATCAGAAGACGATGAAAAATCAACTGAAGACGACAAGAATAATCTTGCAATCGAAATCGACACAACGTTAACTGTTAAATTACAAAATTCCCCCATGTTAAAAAATCAAACGGCGAAAAAGAGAATCAACATCGAAATGACAAGTGAATCTTATTTTACCGACAATTTCATGAGCAGTGGACATGCTTCTATTGATCTAGAGACACAGAGTAAAATTAGAAAAATTGTTTTACTATTTAAACGGAAACGGAGAAGTAAGTTTAAGTTATTTCCAAGGCGTGAAAACTCAGGACTAATCCTGAAAAACCCCGAAAATCCTAAAAAATCCCTGAGCCATTTGATTCATGCATTTGATGAATAACTTCGGGATTTAAAAGGGATTTCACATTTCCATGTTTATTGGCTCAGGGATTTTTTAGGATTTTCGGGATTTTTCAGAATTAATCCTGAGTTTCCAAGTCTTGGTTATTTCAATGTGCCGGTTGATATTCCTAATATTTTTACTAAAATCATCAAATCTTCTTTTTTTCCAGATCAAACAAGCATTGTTAACCTTCCTGGAGACGTATTTGAGGTTATCTTTAAGTACTTAAGTAACAATGATAAGCTTAATGTTATTTTATCTTCAAAAATGTAAGTTTTAATGCTAAAAAGACCGCTGAATTGGTATTAAGCAGTGCTCAAAGTTGAGGCGAGTCGAACCCAATCGACTTTGAGCTCTGGTTTTAAGGAATACTAAGTTTATCCTGCCGCAGATTCAAAAACTTAGTATAGAGTATAGAGTAATATATTATTATACTTTACCCTACTAAGAGTCTGTATGAATTAGTCAAGGCGTGGAAACTATCCCAAATATTCCATTTATCCCAAATATCCCAAAAATATCCAAAATAATCGCTGAGCTTGTATGCACGATGATTAAGATATCCTAACGAATCCTTAGTGTTTTTGGCATTTAATCTTGGGATTGATGCATGCAAGCTTAGGGATTGTTTTGGATATTTTTGGGATATTTGGGATAAGTGAGATATTTAGGATAGTTTCCACGCCTTGGAATTAGTCAATTTAAAAGTTGATTTGCTGCATATCTTTGTAGTAAATGCCCTTTGCAATAACTTTGATCTAATAAAAATTTAAAACTGTTTCTTGTTTTATTTTCTAGATTGATGCAAATTGTTGGAGGCTCCAACACAATATTGCGATCATTTGTGCTAATAATAGGCATAAATAGTCTCAGAAAAATTACTGAAAATCCTGAATTTTTCAATGTTCCGTTTAAAAATATTGAATTAGATTTTGAACATTTGAATAACTACAAAGAAGTCTCGATTGTATTTGAGGATTTTAAAGCTTCAGTCGAGACTCTGAAACTTAAAAATGTAAACTTAAAAAGCTATCACGAATTTTCAGATTTTATTGTTAATTCACCAAACATAAAATCATTAACTTTTGAAAATTGTTGTATCCAGAATCTTTACAATGAAGTTTTGCCGACAATATTGAGTCTTCGGACAATTTCGATCATAAATTGCAATGAAAATGTTTTTAAAGTTTGTCAATTTCAGACAACATTAGTGAAAATTTCAATACAAAGCGATGCAATTGAACTTCCAAGTGAATTATTTTATAAAATTTCAAAGAATTTTGTCAATCTAGAGCACCTTATTTTATTGGGTCAAGGTACAAGAAGCTTCTTTGATTCTCAAAATTATCCTTTAAAGTTGAAGAAACTAGAGGCAACAATGTTAACTTACAATTGGTACATTGGAATGAAAACACAGAGAATAAAGTTTTTAACAAGCCAACTCGGATATTTAAAGGAACTTAAAATTCATCAATTTCCAAATGACTTCGATGGCGGTCGTGTTCTTAAATTTATACTTAACCACATGAATCTAGAAACTATTTATTATGGAAAGATTCCTTTAGTACTGCATGGACAGAAGCAGGAAGTGAAGAGATTTGAAGCATCAGAAACTCAAATTTGCAGTACCTTTGAAATGTTTGAGCAGTTTCCTTGTAAGTTGTATAAACTAGATAAATAGGATTGGGATAGGAGACTAGGATAGGAGACTAGGATAGGAGACTAGGATAGGAGTCTAGGATAGGAGACTAGGATAGGAGACTAGGATAGGAGACTAGGATAGGAGACTAGGATAGGAGACTAGGATAGGAGTCTAGGATAGGAGACTAGGATAGGAGACTAGAATGGGAGACTAGGATAGGAGACTAGGATAGGAGACTAGGATAGGAGACTAGGATAGGAGACTAGGATAGGAGACTAGGATAGGAGACTAGGATAGGAGACTAGGATAGGAGTCTAGGATAGGAGACTAGGATAGGAGTCTAGGATAGGAGACTAGGATAGGAGACTAGGATAGGAGACTAGGATAGGAGACTAGGATAGGAGACTAGGATAGGAGACTAGGATAGGAGTCTAGGATAGGAGACTAGGATAGGAGACTAGAATGGGAGACTAGGATAGGAGTCTAGGATAGGAGACTAGAATGGGAGTCTAGGATAGGAGTCTAGGATAGGAGACTAGGATAGGAGACTAGGATAGGAGACTAGGATAGGAGACTAGGATAGGAGACTAGGATAGGAGACTAGGATAGGAGACTAGGATAGGAGTCTAGGATAGGAGACTAGGATAGGAGACTAGAATGGGAGACTAGGATAGGAGACTAGGATAGGAGACTAGGATAGGAGACTAGGATAGGAGACTAGGATAGGAGACTAGGATAGGAGACTAGGATAGGAGACTAGGATAGGAGACTAGGATAGGAGACTAGGATAGGAGACTAGAATGGGAGACTAGGATAGGAGTCTAGGATAGGAGACTAGGATAGGAGACTAGGATAGGAGACTAGGATAGGAGACTAGGATAGGAGACTAGGATAGGAGTCTAGGATAGGAGACTAGGATAGGAGACTAGAATGGGAGACTAGGATAGGAGTCTAGGATAGGAGACTAGGATAGGAGACTAGGATAGGAGACTAGGATAGGACTAGGATAAGACTAGGAAAGGACTAGATTAAACCAATTAAGCAATCTTTTCAATATCCAATTTATCTTTTCAGCCATCACATCCTTTCTATTAAATCTATCAACAATGGATATAGCAACACAAGAAATTGAAAAAATTGTCAATCCTAGAACAAATTTATTTGACTGGATCGAAGAGTTTGAAGTTGTTGATAACAGTTTTCCGAGGAACATCTTCGGTGTCTTTTTGGGACTTTTAAATAATTTGAGGAACATCAAAAAATTAACACTAAAAACACAAGATATCAACATTAATGTCTTATTAGAAGAGTTTCTGCCGAAAATGAAAAAATTGTCTGAAATTTATATAACATCAACCGATCGAAGATATGTTAAAAGGTTTGAGGTGATTAAAGCATTTGTTCCAAATTTAAAGAAGCTGTGCATTTCACAGGAACTTGTGAAAGAAGCTAGACAAATTTTTGATGGTGGCGTGGAAATTATTGGAATAAATTAAATTACTTAGATTGATCATGGTTGTGTCGTGTGTTTGTGCGTTGGTGCAAAAGATAATTCATGTTCAGAAAAAAAAAATTTTTATTTTTTTTAAAGTAAAATAAAACTTTGTTGAAAAAATGATGTTGAAAGAAAAAAGTTTAAATATTAAATTCAAAAATTAAAATAATGAAAATTGTTTAATAAATTGAAATTAACAAAATCTAGATTGCAATAAAAAAATCAATTTTCTTTTAAATTTTAATGCTTTAAAATTTTGTTTTTAAATAATTTTACAAAAAAAGTTAAAAAAAGGAAACATAAAATTTCATTTAATAAAACAGTTTTAATTTTTTTAAATTTCTTCGTTTTATTTGTGTTGAATTAGTTGAAATATAACATGTTATAGTCTTATAAATACTTTTGTGCAAAATATGAATTTTTGTTTAAATAAAAAAATTAAAATTTCAAAAGCAAGTTAATTAGTAAAATATAAAATGATGGAATTTAATAATATTTTTTTAAATCTACAAAATAAAATATTTTAATTTTTTATAATTTCATTTCGCGGGTTGTATTATAAAATTAAATTTGGAGTTATAAACAAATGACGTGGCATGGAATATGATTTTGGGGAAAACTCATCATAAGAGAAGTTTTGTGGTCAAAACCCTCGTCGTTAAAATAAATGTTAAATTTGAAGTTTTGCCAAAACAACATTTTAACCTTACGCTTAAAAAAATATCCAATTTAAAAAATTAATGATAAAAACGGTCTAAAATTTATATGTGTGACAAACATTTAGTCGATGGACGTTCCCCAATTCTTTACAATCTCTGATCAGTGAGTAATGAAACGCGGATCGTGGATGAGCTATTTGAGTAGATAGCCGCAAACAAAGGTCGATCGCAAGTATGTATAAAATAAATATTTTAAGTTTGAGACAATTTTTCATTTCAATTAATTTAAATTGTGGATGTATTAAAATAGCTAATTACTCATTAAACACAAAGATTTCATTTCTTTAAACTGATTTTTTGGCATTGTTAAAAAAATAATGAAAATTAAAAATCAAACAAAATAAAATTATCAAATTCTTATTCTGGTCAGAATATTCAAATATCACGAATGCCATGAAATTTTAATAGATTTGGAATCAATTTAAATATCTATGTTCACATTTGATTCAATTAAATTATGGAAATTTTGAATTCTTTTGTAAAGAATTTATCAAAAACATAAATTGTCTATGCGACTTGTGTTTCTATCAACAATCTAAAAATAGAATGAAAAGAAAATTTAGAAGATGAAAAAACAAGTGAAGCTGTTTCGCATGTGTTAAAAATGCTTTAGCGCGTAAGTGCTTCACAACAAGTGTCTTTCAAGCTATTTTTCAAAAAAGAGGAGCAATTAATTTGACGAAATATGTTTTAATAAAAAAAAAACGCTTAGAGCGTGTCCAAAAAAGGTCAATAGCCTCTTCCTTATCAAAAATGTTCCTTATTTTGCAAAGGATTTTTTAAAAACTCAAAGAACCTTCCTAATTTCTCCGAAAGCCTTTTGGCGCTTTTCAATAAATTTATACCAACGATTTTGACTAGTTTAGCTCTATCTGAATGTTGTGCCATTGTTTCTTTAGGACTCAAAATGAGGTGCTCCATATGCAAAGGAACCAACTGCCAAAAAGGCGATGACTGTAAAAGGAGAATCAACAGAAGTAACATGTGCCGCTACATTTTAATAATCCTTGGTGTACTCTTTATGGCTGGTATGACTTTTTTGGAAAAATTAATTTAAATTTGTTGTAACATTTTTTTTTAAATTTTCAGCTGGAATTTGGACACTTTTTGAGAGTATCAATACTGGTTCTTCAACTGTCGACACATTGAATGTAGATAATAGTAATGAGACTCTTTCACATCCCGGTATTGAGGACGAAAATCGTGTTATAAGTCCACTTGAGATTTGTATTGCTGTTGTTGGTTCAATCCTTTTAATTACTGGTTTAGTTTTTCTGATAACGGGAGTCAGTAAAAAGCGTAAATTATTTCCTCAAGGCGATGGAGAAGAAATGCAGTCATTCGACAGTAAAATAGATCTTGATCGTCAAGTCTCATTTGATCAAAGTCCAGAAAGCTCGAGTCGAGTTTATAAAAAGTAAGCTTTAATGCTGCAGTTTTTTTAATGTAGCGCAATGCTCTCTTCAAGCAAGAAAGAGGGGATTGTCATGCTTATTATGTATATTAAAAACCCATAAAATAAATTATTTTTTTTACATTAATTTTAGAGCAAGATATTCAAGTGAATGTGACGAAGATGCTCGTATTGTGAAGAGAAATGTGTATCTTGAATTGGGTAAGCATTTAAAATATTTTTGAAGCACATTCTAGTTGTATAAAATGAGCATCGAACAAGGAGGTACAATTTACCTAAATCCTATAGTGGTTTTGCAACTGCAGCATCCAAACGTCTTGAAATTCCAAGTTCAAATTTGAAATTGACATCCAAAATTATTTGATTAGTTTTGTCCTTAACGGATAGATTTTGTTCTCAATGGACAGATGCGTATTTGCAACTCTGCACATATGCATGTCTCAAGGTATATAAATACAAAGTCCCAAGCCACAATGTGTGTGCTTGCAATTTATACGAACCGAGTTGCCATAACTAGAACAGCGAAAAAAGCACCCAAATCCGATTAGACATGATGATGATGATGGGTTCCTTTTACTCCACTATGAAGCGTAGGGCGTCCACAAAGCATTTGAATCGCACTCGATTCTGGGCCAAAGCTGCTATTTCCTGCAGCTTCTTGTTCTGTTGTTTCGCATCCCCTTCAACAGTTGTACGCCAAGTAATTCATCGTCGGCCCCTAGTCCTATTTCCTTGGACATTCCAGATGATCGCTTGCCTCGCAATGTCTGTATGGTCTTTCCTTAATGTATGGACAATCCAATTCCATTTCTTTTTTCCCAACTTCGTTTGAAATGATTTGTTGTTTAGTCATTGCATTCAGCTCTGTGTTCCTTATTGTTTCAGGATAGTAGATGCCACATATTGCTCTCAGACACTTGTTGATGAACACTTGGATGTGCTGTGTAAGAGCTTTTGTGATTAGGCATGCCATGAGGTCAAACCCAAGTCGTTAGGGTTGGTTGGCCAACACTCTAAACCACTTCACTACTGCCCTCAAAATGTCAATACTTTCAAAATATTTATATTAACAAAACTAATCAATTTTTCAGAAAAATCTCCAAATGGAAGTGATTTAGAAGATGACCCAGAACTTATTCCACTTAATAATGAAAATAGCTTGGTTTTATTTCCTGCTGAATACCCCAAAAAGATATGCACTGATGAAATTCTTCAGGTTGTGCATAACTTAGTTCATGCATCTGGGTTGAATTTAAGGACTAAATACATGTCATTGGAGGATGACTACATCAAAATTACGCACCTGGTAATCAGTACAAGAGAATATTTCCAACGAACAGATCCGAATTCCTTTATTGTCAAACTACAATTAGAAATTGGAATTGAAATGAAGATAAAACCAATTGATTATTTTGCGAAGAAAATTAGAATTTGTTGTGAATTAGAGGAACAAATTGAAGATGCTGACTTTCTAATAAAGTTTGAGAGGGAAAATAATATTAAGTTTTCACGTTGCGTAATTGAGAGAAATGAATCTGGTTTAGATGATTCTAAGATTTTCTTAGGCATCACCCCACTGTGCCTCAAACAGATAAACGACAAAGATAATCTTATCTTAATTAATCAGCGATTGAAAGTTATCAATGTATTGGAGAATCCATATCCGGAGCTATTTAGTGATCAACAGTAAAATATATTTTTATCAAAATATCTAAATGGATTTTGTATTAAAAAAATTGAAAATTTATTGCATTTAAAAAATCTTAAGAATAATTTGTTAATAAAGAGTTCCAAAAGTTACCACATCCTTTGAATCGAATGTGTAGTTGCATGACATATAATAGCCGCATTTTATTGCATACCATAACAGAGGCACAACGATCATGATCGATGAAGTCTAATCAATTTAACGGTTGAATTAATTTTAAAAATTTTCTCATGGATTTTATTTTTATTTTTTAAAATATAAATTGTAAAATTTTTAATCAACATTAGAAGCTTATAAAATAAAATTTAAAGAAAATAATTAAGTTTGTTCTTGATCAGAACTCGAAGTCGATAAATTATGTTTTAAAATAAATTTATTGAATATTGTTTGAAAAGTTGAAGCTTTAAAAATTTGAAATTTTATTAATCAAACTTGATATTAAAAATGCAGGAATGAAGACAATTTAAACAATACGACAGTTTTATTAACGTTTCAAGAAAAGTTGCGATTTCTGTAAGGGGCCGTCCATAAACTTATGCGCATAGAATTAAGCCTGAAGACTTGGGATATCTAAAGTATGACACTGCCATATTTTCTTCTTTTATCTTTATTTTGATTAAAATAAGAACAAGGAATATGCAAATATGCATAAAATTAAAGAAACTTATATAGTAATAACTATGTTTCGTGTTGAATACAAAAAAAAAGAGCAAGCCTACTATAACATCGCAAGATTTACTGATTATCATCGGAGCAATTTGACTGCAACGGCGCTAAAATAGAAAATTAAAAAAAAAAATTGTAGGTTATAAAATTTAAAAAATTGGCGAAAGTCTTCGTGTTATATATCGAGGTACTTCAGCGCATTTTTGTGTTAGCGATCAGTATTTGATTTTCTAATTATTTTGCGTTCATTTATAGATCATTAGTAGATCAGAAGATCATTAATTTTAGTGAAATTAACAAATAATTACAATGAATACTTATACAGAAAAACTCTATTATTTAACGGTCTTTTGGAATTCAAATTTTCTAAAGTTCAAAATATATTTGAAATTATCCTACTTGAAGTTGGCTACATTGTTTTGAAATTGAAAAATCATTAATCATAGAATTTTCCGGTGGTTTTAAGATTTTTAACTATTCGTCGCCGGAATAACTCGATTGAACACAGCTAACGCAAAAAACTAGAACTCTCTACGATATCTAGATCAAAAGTTTTTGCATGCAGCCGAGCAGCCGAGCAAACGAACAAAGCGTATTATAAAGCTACCTTTTCGAAACAAGTTTCAAAAATGCGCTGAAAATACAGATAAATTTTATGCTTACTTCTCTGATTCCTTCAAGCAATGCGTAGTGCATGTAGAAGAATCCAAAAAATACTAAAAAAACCGTCAAAACCCCCAAAACTGAAACTAAGCATTTTAAAATAATTAAAAGATGTATGTTTAAATATATTTAAATTAATTACGTAATTTGAAACTATTACAACTGGTGGCAACAAGTGATTTTGGACTCGTATGCAATAAGGTATCAAGTATTTTAAATTGTTCTGCAATGTCATTACATGGCATCAGTAATAACTTCAGCAATAAAGCTCCAGTAAGCAATATCAAAATACCATAAATTGTCATTCCGATGCTTGAAAACAATATATTTTGAAAAAATTAATCATATAAAAAAGTCAACATTTTATAAGCTTACAATGCCACTAATTTTCCACACCAATCTAATTTAAAAAACAAAAAGCTATTTAATCGACACATTTTAAAATTCAATTTTAACAAAAGGTTTCAAAATTAATTATTGAACAATTTCTAATGAAGTTCAATTTTAAACTGACAACTTTTGACGCTAAACTGCTGATAATAAATTCTTATTTAAGTTAATAAACCTTAAACAGAGCAATTTATCGTGATTATATCAATATTTGCTATAAATTTTCTTTTTTTCCATATTTTATGAACGAATTCAAAGATATGCAATGCATTGGGGCAAACGCTTCTTGCCGGGTGCGTAGTCAGGGAGGATCTCAAGTCACCTTTATTTACTGACTTTTTTCAACTTTTTTGAATTTTTTCCCGGAAATCTCTCAAACTCTCAATTAATCGACATTTTTGACGGCATTAAAGGTTGATTAGCCATCGAACGATAAGTTTCTAGAAAAATCAGGTCAACGAGACATCAACAAGGAGATACAGTTGAGGATGTACGACTGTATTGTACATACACTTCGAAAGTAAAATGCCAGAGAGAATGTCACTGCTGGGACAGAAACACAAGTTTGTCTACCGCCCTTGGTTGCAATCCGCAATGATAAAGACACCTCGTAGCTCCAAAATCTACTATGCCCAGAACGGTAATGAAATAATGTCAGCTTAATTTTTTTTTTTTTTTTTAAATTAAACTTTTTATTTATTTACATTTAAATTTAAGTATGTACAAAGTTTCTATACATTTTGTTGCTTTTTGTTTTAAGGTTTCAGGCATTCAATTTGCCTTTTGTCTCTTAATTTTGATTTCATTTACGTTTTTTTTTTTAAATTAAACTTTTTATTTATTTACATTTAAATTTAAGTATGTACAAAGTTTCTATACATTTTGTTGCTTTTTGTTTTAAGGTTTCAGGCATTCAATTTGCCTTTTGTCTCTTAATTTTGATTTCATTTACGGATTTTGCTTTCTTTTGTATTTCATTTGATTTATTCGGTGTTTTGAGATGCAAGACGACTGTTGAAGTTCGCTTGCAACTTTCCGACGTAGTCTTCGATGGACGGTATTTTCGCTTCTGTATGAAGATCGGTGATCCTTTCATATCTTGTTTTATTGAGAACAATTCTCAAGAATTTGTTTTGCAGTACTTGAAGTTTTTGAAGATGGGTTTTTGCCATGCTTCCAAACGCTGGACAACCATATGTGAATATTGGTCTGATGGCTAGCTTGTAGATGAGAAGTTTGTTTCGTACGTCGAGTTGTGAGTTCCTGCTGATGAGCGGATAAAGCTGTCTTAATGCGGTGTGAGCCCTATTGGTCACATACTCCACATGCGGCTTTAATGTCACTCTCTTGTCGATCACCATTCCCAGATATTTAGCTTCTGTTTCCCATTTGATGTTTTCGTTGAGAAATTTGATGTTATTTCCTGGTAGTTGCCTGGAGTGCCTGTTTGTGATGAATAAGGCTTGAGTCTTCTGTTTGTTGAGGTTGATCTTCCATTTGTTCATGTATTGTTGAACTTTTCTTCCTGTGTGCTGTAGATGTGTCACAATATCGGCCGAGTTCTCTGCAGAATGATACAGTGCTGTATCATCTGCGAAAAGACCGATGTTGTTGGTTGTCTCTCTTACAACATCATACGTGAAGATGTTGTAGAGAGTTGGTGAAAGCACTGCTCCTTGTGGCACTCCGAATTTGATTACCTTGATTTCTGAGAACTGACCTTTAATAAAAACTGCAAAAGATCTTTCACTGAGGAAAGATCTTACAGTTTTTATAAGTGGCAGTGGAAATCTCAGTTTGAGCATTTTGTACAAGAGTCCGTTATGCCAGACTCTGTCAAATGCTTTTTCTACATCCAGGAAGATCATGCCTGTTGACTTTTTGTTGTTTAAGTTTTCTTTTGCTGATTTGATCACTTTGATGAGCTGGTGAGATGTTGATCTTCCAGTCCGGAAGCCGCACTGCTGGTTTGGGATGATGTTGTTATCCTCAAGATGATCGTTGATTCTATTCAGTAATACTCTCTCCAGTATTTTGCTTATTGAGCTGAGTAGACTTATTGGCCTGTAGCTGCTTAGCTCATTTGCTGGTTTTCCAGGTTTTGGAATAGGAATCACTTTTGCATGTTTCCAAACTTTGGGGAAGTGGTTGAGTTTCAGACACGAGTTGATGATGAATTTCAAGTATTCGAAACCTTTTTCAGGAAGATTTTTGATGAGTATGTTGTTGACTTCATCTAGTCCCGGAGCTTTTGGATTTTTCAGATTTCTTATGATGCTCACGATTTCGTTTACATCTGTTAGTTCTGGATTCTCATCATTGTCTTGTTCCAATGCTTCTTTGACTGTGTTGTTTACTTCCTGTGTATGTTGTGGATCGTTTTGTTCCAGAGGATTTTCGTGAGCTTCACGAAAATACTCGCTGAGTGCGCTGGCTTTTTCTTTGTTGGTGATGAACGTTTTACCCAGATTTGTCAATGGAGGCATTGTTTTTGAACCTTTTTTGCAAAATTTTGCTATTCTCCAAACTGTTTGGTTTGACGGTTGAATCTCTGAGAGACGCTTATTCCAGTTTTTGTTTTTGAGTTCTTTAATTTTCTCATTGATGACTCTCTGCAGATAATTCAATTCAGATTTGAGTTGATTATCTCTGCTTCTCTGCCATCTTCGACGAAGACTCCTTTTTGTATTGATTAGATCTTTAATCTCCGGTGTGAGTTTAGTTGATTCGAACTTGATCTTTTTCATTTTTACACTTGAGTTCCTCGCTTCCATGATGAGTTCAGAGAGAATCTTAATGTGATTCTCGATCTCATCTGTTGTATTGCAAGAATTTTCTCCAATGTTGTCTTCAATGCGGCGTGAAATTTGTGCTTTGAACTTTTTCCAGTTTGCGTTTTTGTAGTCATATCTGTAGACTGTATTTTCAGTTCTGTCGATTTTTGATGTTTTGATTTGGAAATACACAGCGCAGTGATCACTCATTGCCTCTGTGCATTGAAGTTCTGTTGTTTCGAGGTTGGAATTCGAGAGCATCAGGTCAATTGTTGACACTGATTTGTTTCGATCTTCTGGGTAGTACGTTGGCGAGTCAGGAAAGTAGATCATGAACTCTCCTGACATTTCCTGAAGAATATTTCCTGATTTATTTGCAACGTTGCAGTTCCATTCTCGATGTTTTGCATTGAAGTCTCCACAGATGTAGTAATTTCCTCTCAGATTTGTTATTTTGTTGATGTCATCTCTCAGATGTAGATCTATTTCCCCTCCTTTGCTTCCTCCTGGGAGATAGACTGAGAGGATGTGACAACTATCCGTGTTATTGATGAAGGCTTTGATTCCAATGCATTCCATTAGTTTTGTGTTGTAGCTTGGTTGAAGCTGATGTTTTAGATTTCTTTTGACGATGATTGCAACACCACCTTTTGGTCTATCCACGCGATCCAATCGATGAATTACGTAGTCTGGATGCGAGTCAATTTTTGAGTTTGGTTTTAGGAATGTTTCTGAGATGCAAGCAACATCGACGTTTTGCTTGCTTAGGTAGTCGAGGAATGCTAACATTTTGTCAGTGAGGCCATTAGCATTCCAGTAGAGGACGTTGATACTTTGTTGTCTACAATCCATTATTGTATGCGGTGTTTTTGGCGCTTGAGCCGATTGCTTGGAGTATTTCGTCGATGAACTCTGGATTTTTGGCGATTAATTTGAGAAGCTCGCTGATGAGGTACTTGCACTTTGATTCCTCTATTTCTGAGATGTTTTTATCTCTTGTGCTGGTGCTTTGAGCTTGTTGATTAGTTGTTATGTTTCGATTCACTACCTCAACACTGAATGAAGGTTCTGGGAAGACTTCATTCGAGGTCTGACTTGTTGCACTGATGTCTTCTGAGTCCATAAGCTCAACAACTTGCTTTGGTTTTTGATGTTGATTGTTATTAATGCGCTCGTTTTGCTTTTTTCTTTGATTCTTTTTCCAATGTTTTCCTCTTTCTTTATTGCTTTGTTGGTTGTTCAAGTTATTTTTATTTCCCTGATTTGAGGGTTTGTGATTTGGAGGAGGATTTGTGTTCCTTGGTTTGTGGTTGACTGGAACTTGTTTTTGATGAACAGGCTTTTGTGTACCAGATGTTGATGGTTCCATATACTCCTTTCTCCATTGAGGTTTTGGTGCATGTTGGACGTTTCTGGTTGATCTCTCAGGACGATGCGGTGTTGGAGGATTGTTTCTCCGTTGTCCATATGAATAATGGCCTGCTGTTTTGTTTTGATTTCGGTTGTTTCCATTCTGTGATTTTGATTTCCATTTTTCAATTATTTCTTGTCTGGTTTTACAACCTGTGAAAATTGCTGTATGTTTTTCACCGCAGAAGAAACATTTGAGTTTTCCGAGTAGAACCTTGTTGGTCTCTTTCGATATGTACTGGCATGTTTTCGAGTCATGTTGCTCAGAGCATCTGAAGCAAACGGACGGTTTGTTACAACCGTTTTGTCCATGACCAAACTGCAGACATTTCGAACATTGAGATGGTCCAGCTTGTCTATTTTTGTAGTCAGCCCATTTAATTTTGAAACTGCTGACAATTTTGATTTTTCTGAGGAATTCCAGGAAATTTCCACCTTGTTCTACATCTTTTTTGAAGTACACGAGGTAGTTCTGGTCGTCGTCTTGTTCGTGTCTTTTGTGTTTCATTGTCATTTTGACAATTTTTACTGGTGTGATTTTTACGGTTTGAAGTTCCTTCTCCAACTCACTGATTTCCATATCTGGGAGTCCATAGAGTACGTACTTCTTCAGTGGTTCTTGGCTGGAGTATGTGTGGAAGTGATGCTTTTTGTCTTTGAGTAGTTGGATGAATTTCTCGTAGTAATCCCAACTCTCCGTTGTTACCGTTTTTGTTCCTTGTTTGCCCTTTTTGGTCTCAATTAAGAAACTTCCAGGTTGATTGTTTATTTCATTCGTCAACCTCTTGATTTCACCAGCTCCCCCTATGCTGATGACAATTGGAGGTGGTTTTGATTTTTGTTGAGATTTGTTGTTGTTGCTT